AACATTGAATGCAATCAGAGCCATCAAGGACACTTTGATTTTAAACATCAAGAATCGACAAAGACATTGGGCTTAACTTGGAATCCCAAAGATGATCATTTTATATTTCAGTGCAAGATGTCTGAGCCGACCTTGAATAAACTCACGAAAAGAGCATTACTAGGTGAAATTTCAAAGGTTTTTGACCCACTTGGATGGCTGTCACCAGCCGTCGTTCAATTAAAATTATTATTTCAAAACTTTGGCTTATTGATTTAAAATGGGATGACGTCATACCGGATAACATACACACGGAGTGGTTGAAATTGAGATCAGACATAGAAAATATCAACAAAATCAAGATACCTAGGTGGTTACAATGCGAGCAAGAAGATTCAATTCAATTGCATGGCTTCTGTGACGCTTCCACCAAGGCATATGCTTGTGTTATTTACGCAAGAGTCCAGAAACAAGGTACAAAAACAGCATCAATCACTCTCGTAGCAGCTAAAACAAAGTTAGTACCAGCAACCAAGAAATCAAAAGGTATCAACGAAGCAGAAGTGTCCCTCCCTAGGTTAGAACTATGCGGAGCACAATTATTAGCAAAATTGATGAACAAGATATTGGATGGTTTGACAAATCATAAAATTGATATTTATGGTTGGTGCGACTCAACCGCAGTCCTGGGTTGGCTAAACGGCGAACCAAGTCGATGGAAGCCGTTCGTAGCTAACAGAGTTAAGAACATCACTGCAATAATATCACCCGAAAGTTGGCACTACATAAAATCGCAAGAAAACCCTGCAGACTGCGCTAGTCGTGGAATGACAGTGACACAGTTATATGGACATCAATTATGGTGGAAGGGACCCTCGTGGTTAGAATCATTTGAAAAACATAATTTCATCCAAAAAATCACACCAACCACAAATTTAGAAACAAAAAAGAATCAAGTAAATGTGACTCAGATAAATAACATTAACGACGATATCATATCAACAATTTTAAGCAAGCACAGCAGTTTTACGCACGTAACGCGTTTAGTAGCCTATTTACTACGCCCGAAGGAAAAGAATAAGCAAAATTATCTTACTAGTAGCGAGTTAAAGAAAGCAAAATTAAGAATAATTGGACACATTCAAACAATAGAATTTAAAGAAGATATCATTTATTTACAAAAAAATAATGAAGTACACCGAAAAAGCAAATTATTATCATTAAACCCATTCATCGATTCAGAGGGTCTGTTGAGGGTAGGAGGTCGTCTCAAGCACGCTTTCATAAGCAAAGACATGAAGCACCCCCTCATCATCCCTCACAATAGCATTTTGACAACCCGCCTCATAAATCAAGCACATGAGATGACGTTTCACGGCGGTGCACGTCTTACATTGTCAAATTTACGCAAAAATTACTGGATCCTGGGTGGAAATAACGCAGTTAAAAAACAACTCCGTGGCTGTGTTATCTGCAAAAGACACAGACCAGATAAGCAACAACAGTTAATGGGTGATCTGCCCGAAGCGAGATCAAATCCGTCAAGGCCATTCTATCACACAGGGGTAGATTTTACCGGCCACGTAGAGGTAAAGTCGAGCAAAGGAAGAGGTATCAAAACCTTCAAGGGGTACGTAGCGGTATTTGTTTGTATGGCCACGAAGGCTGTACATTTGGAGTTGGTATCAGATTTGACATCATCAGCCTTTTTAGCAGCGTTAAAAAGAATGGCAGCAAGACGAGGAATCCCGGGTCACATTTATTGTGACAACGGAACAAATTTTGTAGGCGCCAGTCGAAAATTAAATCAAGAATTAATTAATTTAAAATCTATCATTAGCAACGAGTTTTTAAATGATGTCAGCGAAATGGAGATCATGTGGCATTTCAATGCCCCATCATGGCCCAGTGCAGGCGGACTCTGGGAGGCGGCAGTAAAGAGCCTCAAGCATCATCTCCGGAGGGTTCTTGGTGATCAGAAACTCACCTTTGAAGAGTTTTCAACCCTTCTATCACAACTGGAGGCTTGCATGAACTCCCGCCCTCTCTGCGCCATAACGGAAGATCCTGATGATATAAACTACCTCACTCCATCTCATTTTCTTGCAAGTGGTCCAGTATTAAGTATCATAGACACAGAAAGTGATGAAAGAACACGCTGGCAGCTTACACAAAAGATATTTGGAGATATCTGGAAACGCTGGAGAACAGAATACCTAACGGAGTTGACAACCAGAAGCAAATGGTGGTTACCAAATCAAAATATGAAGATTGATGACGTCGTAATCATACACGACGCGAACTTGCCTGCCGGGAAGTGGCCATTGGGCAGAATAATAGAACTCCATCCAGGGAAAGACGGGCTCGTTAGAGTAGTCTCTATCAAAACGAAGAATGGAATTACCAAGAGACCTATCACAAAATTAACTTTGTTGCCAGTTATGTCTGAAACAAATAAATCAGTCCAATCAAATAATTATCAACCACAAGACTACGATAACGGAAACAAAACAAGCCCAATTAATCAATCCAATACGCAATCATTTAGAAAGCGCGGTAATCGAAGTTCAAATTCAAAACTGTGTAATTTTGTTTTATTTATGCTGCTAATGTTTACAACACTCTTACAAACTGCACAAGGAGCGTATAATATATCAAATTTCAAAGAATCACAAGGTCTTTACTTCGACAAACTGACTAACATGCGTTTAATCAGAGATGAATGGAAGTTGATAATTTATTACAATATGGACCCGTATTGGCAAGGATCTACATTACTCAGCAAATACATCGATCACCTCGAGAACATATGTTCAAAACTGCATGAACGACAACAATGTGACGTAATCCTTTTACAATTACGTCACGGCTACACGGAGTTACACTACAACGATCAGCTGTTACTTGGTCAGCGTTCTGCGACGGGAATACGAGTAAGGCGGCGGCGCGGGCTTATCAATGGTATCGGAAACGTAGCGCACGCGCTATTCGGCGTCCTAGATGATGATTTCGCCGTACAATACCAGCAAGATATAAACTCGATCAGAGAAAATCAACACCATCTAGTAAAACTTTACAAAAATCAAACGTCAGTAATAGAAGCCCAGTACAATTTTTTAAAGAGATTAGAATCATCTATTGACCAACAACACAAGCTTTTTAATCAGCACATAATTAAACTGGAAAAAGAAAATTTCGTAATAAAACAGGAAGTGGATAAGTTAAGATTTATCAACGAGTTTGCTTTATCATCTATAATAGCAAACAATGTATTGGCCAACCTGAAAAAGCTTCAAAATATTCTACTCGACACTGTCACAGATATATATCACGGAACATTCGACATACATATCATATCTCCTGACCAACTAAAGGACGAGCTGAGCTTAATATCGGGACATTTATCAAAGGAAGTCTCCCTACCTATAGACGATATCCATAGTGGTATATCAAAATTATATCATTTATTGAGAGTTAAGGTGAAGATCACAGACCAGTATCTTTTGTTTGAAGTCAAAATTCCTTTAATTACTCGCGAAGGCTATGACATATACAAAATTATACCTATTCCACTGTTATCAAAAAGTAACATGGTAAGCATTATTCCAATATCCGAGTACATAGCAATGAATATTCAAAAGGATTCATATATGCCAATGACTATAACCGATTTACAGATGTGTCTTCACGCAGATCTTGATACCAAATTTTGCGAAATTCAAGGGCCTGTCTATCATATGCAAGATGATAAAAATTTGTGTCTCAAAAATGCACCATCAGACAAGTGCCAAGTTAGCACAAATATTTGTAAAAATACATGGAGCGCACTCAATATGATAAATACTTATATATTTTATTGTTGCGAAAAATGCACACTGCGAATTATGTGTAGCGGTCAAGTTTCTACTGAGCGAGTCAGCAAGGCCGGTGTCTTATCTATCGGGAATGATTGTGTAGTAAAAGGCGAGTCCTTTATAATTCATTCACACAATCGAAAAACAAGCGAATTCAATACCCAACCCGATTTAATCAATATAGAAATTCCTCCTATCAATGATATTATTAATTTGACCGTACCTATCGGGGAAGATGAGATAAGTGAGACGTTGGCGAGTGATCATGAGGTACGCCAATCATCATTGAACGAGATTAGACAGCGCATCCAGGAAATGAAAAACGCGGATGTGTCATTAAAGCAGATATCATATCACGATGTACATCATTATGTCGTTATCTACATATTGGTCGGAGTATGCGTAGTTGCAGCAGCATGGTTCCTGTGGAGGCGAGTGCGGGCGCGCCGCCTCCGCCAGGCGCAGGCCGCGGTGTCGGAGGCGCCACCGCAGCCGCGCCCGGCACCACGGCTCTCTCTCTCTCTTAACGACATCGCGAGTGCAAGTGCAAGTGCTAGTAGTGCGAGTGATGAGGTTTGTGGAGGTCCTAAAGTGTCAGTGCAGTGTGAACACTCTAAAGTGTCAGTGCAAAGTGCGCGCGTACTAGATAAGGCGACCTCGCCCATTTTTAAGTCGCCCAAATTTACCGCTGTTAGCTTAGACGATATTAAACATCATAAATAACCGTAATTTAAGTATCAATGGATTCACCTTGTTAGTTTAAGACATTATCATATTTCTAACAAAATCATTTCATCTCATCTCCTTTCGCGGCCGGGAGCATGTACGGTGCGACCGTACATTTTTGCAAGTCCGCAGTTTAATTAGGTCGATGCAATTTACGCCATTTACACGATTTAAAGAATAGTTACGTTTTCACCTATTACACGGCGGACGTGTACTCAATATCAATTATATCATTCAATCATTTAATTTAGTATTACAAAATTAGATATCAAATCAATAAACTATAAAATCATATCAACTGTTTCTATTTATAATCAACATCTAAAGGTGTCCCGTACAGTTACTTTTCACCAAAACGGACATAGCAACATAATTTACAATTACGAAAACTATGATAGTTTTCGTGAGCTCAAACTCGTACTAAGTGTACTGCGCACTCACCAATCTCGTTGTATACGAAGGCGTCGGTGTGCACGCGCGCCGAGAACTTGTGCGTCTCGCACGCCACCAGCGCCGGCACGTTGTGCGCGCGCGACACCAGCGCCGTCTGCGCCGTGCCGGCCGCGCCCAGCACGCAACCGTTGCCTAGCAACGCGCTCGCGCCCAGGATCACCTTGTCTATCTGTCATTATATAACGCGCGTACAATACAATGTTGGACGGCGCTACAATACTATTAGTGAGCGCCGTCTGCGCCGTGCCGGCCGCGCCCAGCACGCAACCGTTGCCTAGCAACGCGCTCGCGCCCAGGATCACCTTGTCTATCTGTCATTATATAACGCGCGTACAATACAATGTTGGACGGCGCTACAATACTATTAGTGAGCGCCGTCTGCGCCGTGCCGGCCGCGCCCAGCACGCAACCGTTGCCTAGCAACGCGCTCGCGCCCAGGATCACCTTGTCTATCTGTCATTATATAACGCGCGTACAATACAATGTTGGACGGCGCTACAATACTATTAGTGAGCGCCGTCTGCGCCGTGCCGGCCGCGCCCAGCACGCAACCGTTGCCTAGCAACGCGCTCGCGCCCAGGATCACTTTGTCTATCTGTCATTATATAACGCGCGTGCAATACAATGTTGGACGGCGCTACAATACTATTAGTGAGCGCCGTCTGCGCCGTGCCGGCCGCGCCCAGCACGCAACCGTTGCCTAGCAACGCGCTCGCGCCCAGGATCACCTTGTCTATCTGTCATTATATAACGCGCGTACAATACAATGTTGGACGGCGCTACAATACTATTAGTGAGCGCCGTCTGCGCCGTGCCGGCCGCGCCCAGCACGCAACCGTTGCCTAGCAACGCGCTCGCGCCCAGGATCACCTTGTCTATCTGTCATTATATAACGCGCGTGCAATACAATGTTGGACGGCGCTACAATACTATTAGTGAGCGCCGTCTGCGCCGTGCCGGCCGCGCCCAGCACGCAACCGTTGCCTAGCAACGCGCTCGCGCCCAGGATCACCTTGTCTATCTGTCATTATATAACGCGCGTACAGTACAATGTTGGACGGCGCTACAATACTATTAGTGAGCGCCGTCTGCGCCGTGCCGGCCGCGCCCAGCACGCAACCGTTGCCTAGCAACGCGCTCGCGCCCAGGATCACCTTGTCTATCTGTCATTATATAACGCGCGTGCAATACAATGTTGGACGGCGCTACAATACTATTAGTGAGCGCCGTGCCGGCCGCGCCCAGCACGCAACCGTTGCCTAGCAACGCGCTCGCGCCCAGGATCACCTTGTCTATCTGTCATTATATAACGCGCGTGCAATACAATGTTGGACGGCGCTACAATACTATTAGTGAGCGCCGTCTGCGCCGTGCCGGCCGCGCCCAGCACGCAACCGTTGCCTAGCAACGCGCTCGCGCCCAGGATCACCTTGTCTATCTGTCATTATATAACGCGCGTGCAATACAATGTTGGACGGCGCTACAATACTATTAGTGAGCGCCGTCTGCGCCGTGCCGGCCGCGCCCAGCACGCAACCGTTGCCTAGCAACGCGCTCGCGCCCAGGATCACCTTGTCTATCTGTCATTATATAACGCGCGTGCAATACAATGTTGGACGGCGCTACAATACTATTAGTGAGCGCCGTCTGCGCCGTGCCGGCCGCGCCCAGCACGCAACCGTTGCCTAGCAACGCGCTCGCGCCCAGGATCACCTTGTCTATCTGTCATTATATAACGCGCGTGCAATACAATGTTGGACGGCGCTACAATACTATTAGTGAGCGCCGTCTGCGCCGTGCCGGCCGCGCCCAGCACGCAACCGTTGCCTAGCAACGCGCTCGCGCCCAGGATCACCTTGTCTATCTGTCATTATATAACGCGCGTACAATACAATGTTGGACGGCGCTACAATACTATTAGTGAGCGCCGTCTGCGCCGTGCCGGCCGCGCCCAGCACGCAACCGTTGCCTAGCAACGCGCTCGCGCCCAGGATCACCTTGTCTATCTGTCATTATATAACGCGCGTACAGTACAATGTTGGACGGCACTACAATACTATTAGTGAGCGCCGTCTGCGCCCAGCACGCAACCGTTGCCTAGCAACGCGCTCGCGCCCAGGATCACCTTGTCTATCTGTCATTATATAACGCGCGTACAATACAATGTTGGACGGCCCACAATACTATTAGTGAGCGCCGTCTGCGCCGTGCCGGCCGCGCCCAGCACGCAAATAGAGCACCGTTGACCGTTTTTTAAAATTGTCTACATAATTGACAATATTTTCTTCTGTCATCCTATAATATAATAAATATATCTGTCCCTCCACTGTATCTTTTTTTGCTATAATTAATTTATTTTAGAAAGTACGCACCGTGTGCATGACGTATGTGAGCGTGGTGAGGTCGGCGTAGGCGCAGGGCACGCCGCAGGCCGCGAGCCGCCGCATCATGTGTCGCGGCGCGTGTCAGTACGTGAGCCCGGTATGACAGTACAGTACAGTACAGTACGCACCGTGTGCATGACGTATGTGAGCGCGGTGAGGTCGGCGTAGGCGCAGGGCACGCCGCAGGCCGCGAGCCGCCGCATCATGTGTCGCGGCGCGTGTCAGTACGTGAGCCCGGTATGACAGTGCAGTACAGTACAATACGCACCGTGTGCATGACGTATGTGAGCGCGGTGAGGTCGGCGTAGGCGCAGGGCACGCCGCAGGCCGCGAGCCGCCATATCATGTGTCGCGGCGCGTGTCAGTACGTGAGCCCGGTATGACAGTGCAGTACAGTACAGTACGCACCGTGTGCATGACGTATGTGAGCGCGGTGAGGTCGGCGTAGGCGCAGGGCACGCCGCAGGCCGCGAGCCGCCGCATCATGTGTCGCGGCGCGTGTCAGTACGTGAGCCCGGTATGACAGTGCAGTACAGTACAGTACGCACCGTGTGCATGACGTATGTGAGCGCGGTGAGGTCGGCGTAGGCGCAGGGCACGCCGCAGGCCGCGAGCCGCCGCATCATGTGTCGCGGCGCGTGTCAGTACGTGAGCCCGGTATGACAGTGCAGTACAGTACAATACGCACCGTGTGCATGACGTATGTGAGCGCGGTGAGGTCGGCGTAGGCGCAGGGCACGCCGCAGGCCGCGAGCCGCCGCATCATGTGTCGCGGCGCGTGTCAGTACGTGAGCCCGGTATGACAGTGCAGTACAGTACAATACGCACCGTGTGCATGACGTATGTGAGCGCGGTGAGGTCGGCGTAGGCGCAGGGCACGCCGCAGGCCGCGAGCCGCCGCATCATGTGTCGCGGCGCGTGTCAGTACGTGAGCCCGGTATGACAGTGCAGTACAGTACAGTACGCACCGTGTGCATGACGTATGTGAGCGCGGTGAGGTCGGCGTAGGCGCAGGGCACGCCGCAGGCCGCGAGCCGCCGCATCATGTGTCGCGGCGCGTGTCAGTACGTGAGCCCGGTATGACAGTGCAGTACAGTACAGTACGCACCGTGTGCATGACGTATGTGAGCGCGGTGAGGTCGGCGTAGGCGCAGGGCACGCCGCAGGCCGCGAGCCGCCGCATCATGTGTCGCGGCGCGTGTCAGTACGTGAGCCCGGTATGACAGTGCAGTACAGTACAGTACGCACCGTGTGCATGACGTATGTGAGCGCGGTGAGGTCGGCGTAGGCGCAGGGCACGCCGCAGGCCGCGAGCCGCCGCATCATGTGTCGCGGCGCGTGTCAGTACGTGAGCCCGGTATGACAGTGCAGTACAGTACAGTACGCACCGTGTGCATGACGTATGTGAGCGCGGTGAGGTCGGCGTAGGCGCAGGGCACGCCGCAGGCCGCGAGCCGCCGCATCATGTGTCGCGGCGCGTGTCAGTACGTGAGCCCGGTATGACAGTGCAGTACAGTACAATACGCACCGTGTGCATGACGTATGTGAGCGCGGTGAGGTCGGCGTAGGCGCAGGGCACGCCGCAGGCCGCGAGCTGCCGCATCATGTGTCGCGGCGCGTGTCAGTACGTGAGCCCGGTATGACAGTGCAGTACAGTACAATACGCACCGTGTGCATGACGTATGTGAGCGCGGTGAGGTCGGCGTAGGCGCAGGGCACGCCGCAGGCCGCGAGCCGCCGCATCATGTGTCGCGGCGCGTGTCAGTACGTGAGCCCGGTATGACAGTGCAGTACAGTACAGTACGCACCGTGTGCATGACGTATGTGAGCGCGGTGAGGTCGGCGTAGGCGCAGGGCACGCCGCAGGCCGCGAGCCGCCGCATCATGTGTCGCGGCGCGTGTCAGTACGTGAGCCCGGTATGACAGTGCAGTACAGTACAATACGCACCGTGTGCATGACGTATGTGAGCGCGGTGAGGTCGGCGTAGGCGCAGGGCACGCCGCAGGCCGCGAGCCGCCGCATCATGTGTCGCGGCGCGTGTCGGGTGCGGGTCCCCACTATGACGGCCCGGAATCGAACCCCAGCCTCCCATGCCTCGCGAAGGATGCGCTCCACCAGAGACGAACTAAGTATACGTATAATACAATCAAGACATTATATATTTTTAAATACACCGATTATTGTTTTGAAAGTATTGACATATTATTTAAAGTGTTTGCCCAATTTATTGTCATTTTTTTATTGTATTGACATTTTAATTTTTGTAATTTGAATCTAAGAATAATAATTATGAATATACATAATAATTAATTTGTACGCCAATATTATCACAACATGTTATGTACTTAGCTAATTATCACTGACTATCTTTCTTACACCTGTTGTTACAAATAAAATTTCTTTCTTTCTAGCCTAACCCCATTGTGAGCACTGTAGCCTTGTGTTATGCGATACTAGAGTAACGAGTAGAATACATATATAAGTATATTTATATAGAAATACATATTAAACATCAGTGACTGGAGTACAAATGCTCATATTCATCACACAAACATCTGCCCCCACCGGGATTCGAAAAATGGTCCCTCGTCACTAAAAGCTTAAGAACCACTGTTTTTATTAGACTTGCAACGAATAGTATATTCGGCAGTATACCGAATACCGAATATTCGGCGAGGCCCTTGACCGAATAGCCAAATATTAGGCAAAAGTATTCGGCTGGATTTTAGCTTTCGCGCTCCTTTGTTTTGGTCTAATCTGCCGTCCTCAAGATAAAATTCGGCTAAATGACAAAAACAACTTTTGAGATATGGCCAAAAACCATTCATCACATAGTATTATGTAACCATTCATCACATGACTGAATGACTTAAAAACTGTTAAATTGTTTAATACAGAAAATGATTAAATTATGTACCTGTTTTATGTACCAATGACAACTTTTATAAAAGAAATGAGAACCTTACCCTAGAAGGGTAATTTTGATTACCCCAATAATTCAAGTACATATTTCCAATTCGGAAGATGATTATGTACCCGTGTTATGTATCAATTACTACTTAAATGATTGTATAACAGAGATGAAAATATCAATATATACGTAATCAATCGATTTTAATTTTTCATTTTACCAATTATTTCTCTATGACAAAATATATTATTTAAGTATTCGGTATTCGGCCGAATAATATATAAATACTAGCTGACCCAGCGAACTTCGTACCGCCCTAAAAAAATAGGGGTTGTCCAGCGGACAAAATTGTGAATCTAAACCATTCTCAGATCCCCTTGAACACACACAAAAAATTTCATCAAAATCGGTCCAGTCGTTTAAGAGAAGTTCAGTGACATACACACTCACAGAAGAATTATATATATAAAGACTAGCTGACCCAGCGAACTTCGTACCGCCCTAAAAAAATAGGGGTTGTCCAGCGGACAAAATTGTGAATCTAAACCATTCTCAGATCCCCTTGAACACACACAAAAAATTTCATCAAAATCGGTCCAGTCGTTTAAGAGAAGTTCAGTGACATACACACTCACAGAAGAATTATATATATAAAGATATTCGGTATTCGGCCGAATATAATAAAAGCAGCCGAATAGGCCGAATACCGAATAGTAACCGAATATTCGTTGCAAGTCTAGTTTTTATCGATCACCTTATAGACGATATACAAGAAGAAATCTTTGAATCTAATATATCCGACCATATCATCTTATCTAGGTAGGAGTTAGTTTGAAATTTTTGATTTGATTACAATTGTCTTTTATGGCATTAATAACTCAATTGATAAAATGCGATTGTGATATTATTGCACCGGATGAGCGATATTTAGTCTTGAATATAGTACTAATCTCGTAGTGTATTCACAGTCTTCTATTGTTCAGACTTATAAGGTTAAGTGCTTCAAGTATACAATACACACTCAATGGCCAATTGTAACAAATCTATAAGATGTCTGACCTTCTTTTGGATATTAAGTAGTACTTAATTGTTTAGGTTTAAGCAAAGTATTTACTCTGTCTGTTTTTGCAAGTTAATAATAAATAAAAGTCAGTTTTTTTTGTTTAAGAATAAAATTAAGTCTCTCATTAACTTCACCTAACACAAAAAGCCTGTAGTCTAGTAGGACTAAAACGTAAGCGTTTAATTTTACATTACAACTTGCAATGCCTTACAGATTAAGAAAGGCTAGGAAGAATTCGAAACGGCCATCAGGGCCGCGGTAGCATAATGCATTCGCCCGAAATAGCGAAGGATGCGGGTTCGAGTCCCGTCTGCTGCCTGGTCCGCGTGGAATTTTTTCTAGTAATATTATTTTTTAATTTTACATTATTTAAAAAACTACAAATTGCCAAGTAATACGGTTTTTGCAAAGAACTCGACAGCGGTAGCGCATTTGGCCTGGATTGGGGAAGTAAAGCCACTTTCGCAATGGGCGGTCTCAGAGTGGGTGACCAAATTACTATCACAAACTCCTAAGTACTTCTGGAGGTATGTTAAATCGTTCCAGCTGCACCTGGAGTCAATATCAATAGCACCCACCAGGTCTTTTTTTGAGTGTGTATGCTGTTGGTCTCAGATGACCTTAACAGCATCACCGGGTTTGGGGACGGCGGGATCCTAAGCCGAGAATTGGCGAGTGCCTCTAGATGTATTCCAGGCAGATGGCATCTCCCCACGAGGAGTCTCCTTTCGTCTGGAGCCTCTAGACCACTCCAACCTGAGGGATCCCACCCAACATCATGTACTGGGCCCACGTATTGGCTCAAGTCTTGGCTAATTCTGTCCACAGGGAAGACTTGTGCTCCAGCAATGTGGACATTAATTTACTTAATCTACCCATGCTTTAAAACTTCTATTAAATTCTGAAACAGCTTATTGCCAGCATTAAAATATACAATGTTATTGTTTTTTTAAGAGAAAGTCATGTAACTTATTTAAGTAGAGTTGTAGAGTTAGAAAGTCCCAAACTACATTGACTATCTCACCTTCCATAAGTGAGTATATTGTCTCCGTTGGATATCTTGTTGCGCACCGCCAGGCTGATGGCCTCGCCTGCCATCTCAATCTGCTCCCTGATGTACCTGTCTATTTCTTCCTGAAGGGTCTTCTTAGCCTGACACAATATAAACAAATTAAAAAAACAAGCGAGCCTTACAGTAGTCGCGTATGATGTGAAACATTTGAAACCTCACCTTATATTAGTAAAAAAAGAACTAAAATCTACTACAAAAGGAATAAGCCATTTGAACATTATGTTCTAAATAAAACTAGTTTTTTTACGGGTTAATGCACGAAACTTTATTTATTTATTGACGTTTCGTAGCCTTTACAGGCTACGTAGGCTAAAAATTTGATTCCGACGACGTAGCCTGTAAAGGCTACGAAACGTCAATAAATAAATAAAGTTTCGTGCATTAACCCGTAAAAAAACTAGTTTTATTTAATGAGTGATGTGCGTGAAAACCTAAGAAACAATTATGTTCTAAAATTAAATCAAATAGTTCCGCTTCCCAAACTTCCTGTTACACACTTCAGGTTCACCTGTTTTACAGGAAAGATGTTCGGTTGAAAAAGCCTTTATTAAAGCTAAACTAAGCTATTTAGCTATTTTTTAAACATTGATTAAAATTTTGATTTTTTTTTATGATGAATGTAGCGTGTCGTTAACACGAGGCCTCCCCCAGCCTCTACAGAATGTCCAGTTGATGTTCATATCTTTGAAGAAATGCTGTACCCTTAGTAAGAGTTTACAATTACGAAACCAATGATAGTTTTCGTAAGTTCGCACTCATATTAAGGAATACTGATTTGATTGTTTTCGTTTCAATACAAATAAACAGTATTTAAATTCTATCATTAAATCATTTGCGTCTTCTTAAATTTTAAGTACATTTGGTTACTTTTCACCAAAATGGACATAGAAACATAATTTGCAATTAAGAAAACTATGATAGTTTTCGTGAGCTCAAACTCGTACTGTTTCTAATCTTCTCCACTCAGATCTGTTTAAGCTATTTTTCTCCAGTAAACTCCCACTGTCTCTTTGAACTCGTATGCCCATCTAGTAACTTTCCGTCCCCTGCTTCTTTTTCCATCTCTGGGGTACTAGTTGGTAACAACTTTACTCCATTTTTCCGATTGGTCATGTGGCCAGTCCATCTCCATTTTTGTTGGTCTATTCGGGTCAGGATGTCAGTTACTTTAGCCTGACACAATACCAGTTATTTTTTTTTATTTATTTATTTTGTACACACACAATAAAATATTACATAAAAGAGAAACAAGAGACATGTACAAGGGCACTACTTATTTCATAATGAAATTTCTTCCAGCAGGCCCGCGAAAGGAAAGAACATAGAAAAAGGCAGTCAGTGTGTGCTCCTGAATAAATATAACATAATACATATGCGATACATACAATAACATACAATACATATATATACAATACTAGCTGTACCCTGCCACGCTTCACAATGGCACATTGTGATTGAATGGTTGAGAAATGAGAAACAACACAAAGAATACATTTCATATAACTTTAATTTTGCAATACTTGTGGATATACAATATTTTTTGTTTTTCCACTGTCTGCGTAGATATAAAGACTATCTGGTTTGCCGACTCGGGAACACGCAACGTACAGTTGTCCATGTGAAAAGCAATCCGCATCTAAATCTAAACCACACAATTCTAAAGATTGACCTTGAGCTTCATTGATTGTGATTACAAATGCCAATCGAATTGGGAATTGCAATCTTTTAAATTGAAATGGTATATCGGTCGGGATCATGGATATTCGAGGAATGAGGCCATCTTCACCTTTGAAAGGCCCCGTTAAAATCGTTGCTTCCACTACGAATTACTAATTATAGAATTAATTTTTGCACCTAGCTAATCACTCAGCCTTATGGTGGCCACACACCATCATGCTCCTTGATCAAGTGACTTGATGAAACATGCTTGATCAAAAATGACCCCCTACAAACGGTCAGTTTGGCTTGATCAAGCCTATTTGAATATCTCGATCGATGGCGCAAATGGTTAGCGCGTTCAGCTGCGTTCGTTGAAGTTAAGAAACTTTTGCAGCGGTCTGTCATTGGATGGGTGACCAAAAATTTTCTATCTCCAGCTCCTACTTGATTCGGAAGGCACGTTCAGCCGTTGGTATTGGCTGCATTCGCAGTCTTTAGCAACCACAAATCTCCCTATTCCATCCACAGGGAAGGCTTGTGAACATTATAAATAAATATTGCCAACACTCACACCAATTAACCTAGCCCCAAAGTAACCACTGTAAGGCTTGTGTTATGGGAAACTAGGGTAACGGATAGAATACATATACTGCATATATATATAAGTATATTTATATAGAAATATATATTAAACATCCTGGACTGACTGGATGACTGGAGTACAAATGCTCGTATTCATCATACAAACATCTGCATCCACCAGGATTCGAACCCAGGACCTCTCGAGTAGGCGACACCTTGAAACCCGGCGTACAAACCACTCGGCCACGGAGGTCGTCCTTAAAATAAGGCTGATAATGATGAAGCCCATTAGAAAAAACCTCTTAATGAAGAGGCAGGTTGGTGAGTGGCCACCATTACATAATGCCTAAATGGAATCTAAAAAACAGAGACAATATGAGGATTGTACTACATATCCCAAATTATTACTAAACCTATGCATTTTTATGCCTTAGTGGAGCTGAAATATGAAAATATCTACAATAAGAATAGGCCATAAGAAAGTATGTATGTGATGCCAGAATAGGGGTGATGACGGAGTACAGTAAAGGAAATTCTATTTAGTCCGTCAGTTAGATGATCAAAAAATAATGGACACGTATTTTTTCTTTGGGCAATCAACCAAAAAATGACAAAGTTATAGCGCGTCAAAGTTTGGGAGTAGGGGCTCGTGACGTCACTTTTGAGTGAATTTTCCCTTATAAGTGTACTCAAACGTGACGTCATGCGACTTTTCAAATCAATATATCTCTGCAATGTTTATATTATGTGAAAAAAGAAAAAATACGTGTCCAATACTTTTTGATAAACTACCTGATAAAGGAAGAAAAAAAAATAGTCATCATCCCTATTATGTATCGCTAGCTGTGCCCCGCGGTGTTACCCGCGGTTTATTAGGGATTTTTTCCCGCAGTAAAACGTAGCCTATGTGTTAATCCAGGGTGTCAGTTAACTCCATACAAAATTTTATTAAAATCGCTCCAGCCGTTTAGACGTGAAGAAGTAACAAACATACGCACTCACAAACTATCGCCTTTATAATAATAGTGTGATTATGACTATTAGGCATACTTCAAAATTTCAATGTACATGCACATCTTTATGGTTTGTTAGTCCAAACACTCAGGCTCTTTTAATTGATAGGAATGCTCAAATGCTTTGTTTATAAGCCTTGATTAATTGATAAGCATCTATCTAGCGCTTGTACAACTGTAGGTAGGTGTATGTTGGTTATATATATATATGAAGCTTATTATTATTATTATACTAGTGGGTGCCCGCGACTTCGTCCGCGTGGAATTAGTGATTTGTGTAGTTTATTTTTTATCCATTCTGCATTTTCATCAGTCTTAAATGGCAATGTTTATAATTTACTAGCGGCCCGCCCTCGCTTCGCTTCGGTGTAAAGCTGAAGTGTAGACTACAGTTTTTGTTCTCAGGCTTGTATTATACACAATGACATTCATCTATGATTCTTCTTATCTGCTATCTGCATGCAAAGTCTCAGCCCGATCGGTTTAAAATTGACAAACTTTCATTCCCTATTTTATCCCCTTAGGGGTAGAATTGATCAAAATCCTTTCTTAGCGGATGCCTACGTTATAACATCTACCTGCATGCCAAATTTTAGCCCGATCCGTCTAGTGGATTGGGCTGTACATTGATAGATCACTATGTCAGTCAGTCACCTTTGAGTTTTATATATATATATAGATTTAGATAAGTATTCGTACCGAGTTTTATTCAATTAATTCAAAGAATAAGCATTTAGCACTTGCCTACGCACCGATTGGCGACGATTGCGATGGCACCAAATAAAATTTAAAAACCTATTAGTATAACGCGAGTCTCGTCCCATATCTTAAAATTGAACCCTTATAAGTTATAGGGGATGATGGTATTTCACGTCCACCGTTTTCCATCATACAAAAAAACCCATGTAGTTTTTGAGACTTTGTAAACCCATTTCCAACTTTTAGAGGTTGAATTCTGAAAAACCTGAAACAATCGTTTACTCATTTGTCGATAGGCGTACCCATGTGAGGTTTCAGATATAATAATTTAACTAATCTTGTTTCCTCATACAAATTTGGACTCCCGTTTCACCCTCCTATAGGGGGAAATTTGGAAAACCCTTTCTTAGTGCACCCCGAGACCTCATAAGGAACCTACCTATTAGAGGACAAGTGCTTGTGCCAAGTTTCAAGTCTATTAACCCAAGTGAATTTTGTTCCTGTGTTTTATGTTCTCTGTATTGTGTATAATAGTGCAATAAAGAATATATTCATTCATTCACTTTTTTACCCCTCGGGGTAGAATTTCAAAAATTAAGAAACATGTTATACTTTATTTCTTGTCTCAAGTATAAATACTGAGTTTCGAGTTAATCGAACATGTCGATCAATTATCAATCAATCAATCGAACTATTATCAAATTTCTGCACTAGGCAATACGGATTCCCACGAGCGGCGCTGTTATAAATTTCGATTATAAATAAATAGTGCTGGGATAACGTCGAACTCATCCATATTGTTGGGCAGCTGCGATATGTGTCGTCGTAGGAACTTGACGGCGTTCTCCTACGCGGCGCTACGTTACCTATGTTGCTGGGATCACATCACACTCACATCGAACTCGTCCACATTGTTGGGCAGCTGCGATATGTGTCGTCGCAGGAACTTGACGGCGTTCTCCTACGCGGCGCTATGCTACCTATGGTGCTGGGATCACATCAGACTCGCATCAAACTCGTCCACATTGTTGGGCAGCTGCGATATATGACGTCGCAGGAACTTGACGGCATTCTCCTGCGCGGTGCTACGCTTCCTATGGTGTTGGGATCACATCACACTTACATCGAACTTGTCGACATTGTTGGGCAGCTGCGATATGTGGCGTCGCAGGAACTTGACGGCGTTCTCCTACGCGGCGCTATGCTACCTATGGTGCTGGGATCACATCAGACTCGCATCAAACTCGTCCACATTGTTGGGCAGCTGCGATATGTGGCGTCGCAGGAACTTGACGGCGTTCTCCTACGCGGCGCTATGCTACCTATGGTGCTGGGATCACATCAGACTCGCATCAAACTCGTCCACATTGTTGGGCAGCTGCGATATGTGTCGTCGCAGGAACTTGACGGCGTTCTCCTGCGCGGCGCTATGCTACCTATTGTGCTGGGATCACATCACACTCACATCGAACTCGTCCACATTGTTGGGCAGCTGCGATATGTGTCGTCGCAGGAATTTGACGGCGTTCTCCTGCGCGGCGCTACGCTACCTATTGTGCTGGGATCACATCACACTCACATCGAACTCGTCGACATTGTTGGGCAGCTGCGATATGTGGCGTCGCAGGAACTTAACGGCGTTTTCTTGCGCAGCGCAGGGCTGCCGCAGCCGCCACAGATGCTGCAGACTGGCGGTGAGGGCTGCCTCGAGACCGCGAGAGAACTCCGTGCGCGCGGGCAGGCTGTAGTCGCGTATCATCTGGGCGAAACCAGATAATGTTACACCTCGTTTACACCGAGATATAATACATGGCAATCATTGACGACATCTGTGGCTGGAGTGGTATGTACACAGGTTTTTTTTTGTGAGAGGTCCGACAAATAACTCCACCCCACCTGATGTTAATGCTTCTTCATGGTTCAGGTTTTCAAGGTGTCGCCTTAGAGGTCTCGAGTTCGAATCCCGGTGAAGCAAACGTTTGTGTGATGAATACGATCATTTGTACCAAGTCATGGATTTTTCTATTTATTTCTAAATAAAAATATACTAACACAAGCCATACAGTGCTTACTTTAGGGCTAAGCGAATTGATATTAATATATGTGATAAACTTTTAATAATGAACTGTAAAGTAATATTCTATTATTCAAATCCCAACGACTTACCTTTTTCAAAGCATCAAGAAGCGCAATACATCTAGCATTTGAACCAGACACAACCCGGGTAGCCAACTGCACTCCCAATTTCACAATAGCTGGGTGAAGACTGAAATAAAAATAATAATATAGGAGTCACATCTGAAATCATGCAGGGTAGAAAAGGCTAATATTTCTCATTGAACTATTTTGAAGTTTATCATTTTATATTTGTATTTATTATAACTATTATTTCGTACATGAAATAGTTCTTAAGTTATTATTAGTATGTGCATAAAGTGGTCAACAGTCAAATTAACTAAATACTATTTATATTTTATCTGTACTTACTTTGAATTAATAGGGATATTTGTTAAATAATCTTTGTCATGTTCCACATGCAAATGCTCAAACCAGTTCACCCTATTAACACTTGGACTTTTTGGCTTAGCTATTTCAACTGATTTAGCTTTCAATAATTTGACCTGCAACCAAAAGGTAAATAAGAAATGGTCCATATGTCATTACTGTTTTGAAAGAAAGATAATGCTGTTTTATTAAGTGATTGCATTTCATAACACACCTCTTTAGGAGGTTCTGAACTCTCAGATTTTTCAATTTTTGGAACCTGTTGTACAGAAGCCTGTTTAGCAGCTCTCTGTGCCTCTTGCTTGGCTCGTCTCTCAGCTCTCAATTCAGCCTTGCTTTTACTTTCTTCAGTAGGAGTCTAAAAGATCAAGAGTCATTCAAAAGAATATAATAACCTAACTATAATACTACATGAAAGCAAAGAATATTGCCAGCCTTATGAATTGAAACAAAGTTATATATAAAAATCAGAGAACAGTAACCTTTTTCTGTCCCATACTGATAGCTTGTACCTTAGCTGTAACATCTTGAACTTCCCTAGCAACAGCTGCAATATCTTTTAATGTATCTACAACATCTTTAACAGTCATATCAGGAGCTTTATTTATATCAGATGCTTTATTTTTATCAGAAACTTTATTTACATCAGAAAAAGGTTTATTTATAACAGCTGACCCCACAACATTATCTTCATCTTTCTTCTTCTTGGCTTGCTTTGCTGCCTTCTTTGCTGCCCTATCTGCTTTTATTTCTTCTTTTGTTTTATCTCCTACTGATTCAATCTCAATTGGTTTTGCTAAAGCTCTATCTACTTCATCCTTACTTTTACTTGGCTCTTTTGATACCTTGGGCTCTAAATCACTTTTACAATTTTTTTTCTCTGCTTCTACAATACTTTCAGTATGTAAGTCCTTTTTCACTTCGATAGGGGCACCCGCTTTATTTTTACCTTTTAGTTTAGCCAATTTCTTGGCTTCTCTAGCAGCCAGCACTTCATCTCTAGATTTTTTCTCATCATGAGAAGACATTTCTAAGTTGATGAACTGTTTACTGGTTACAACTTGGGTTTTTAAACTATTGCTTTTACTTAAGTCTATTATTATCGGCTTAGTATTGGCCACTAGTCCATTTACATCAGTGTTTGGCAGTAAATCACTTCCAGCTTCAATTGAGATTTTATTGGTATTACCTGTATTTTTTATTAAATTCTTAGCTGCTTGTAACCTTTTTCTCCTTATCCTTCTTTTCTTTGAAGATGTATAAACAAGATCAGTACTTTCTGTGTGTATCTGGAAAAAATATTATTAAACATGCAATGTTAATGGTACCTAAAATAGAGATTATAACAGATACATACACACAATAACAATAATACTAGAATTGAGGGAATATATATGAACAATTCATAAGTAACTCAACAATAATTTGCGAAAAAATGTACTTTATTCTATGCCTTTTCTGGCTGTTGCTTAGAAATTTTATTTTACAGCTGTGTACGTAAATAATAACATGCTCAACAATACACTCGATGCTAACTGTTCCAGGTATACTTTATAACCTCAAAACAAAATTTACGATAAGGGAATGGCAAACCATAATAATATCTTTATTAACCATACCTCAGTAGATACCATAGCGACTATTCCTTGGCAAGCTTTAAAGTAAAATCTTGATAAGAAAACGTGTCAAAAAGTTTATAATGTTATGTTTGTAAAATGTTACTTACATTTTATTTATTTGTAGTGCACCGCTGGTGACACAAATTATTACCTATACTCAAATATTTCGATTTGGTGCTTGATATCTAAATGAACATAATTTTGTCACAAAACTCAGTCCTTTTTGGAAGTTCAAAAATTGTGTTTGCAAAAGAATTTCTACAAGTTACGAAGCATTCGAAGCAAGGCTGCGTTCCATTTTCCAAACCTAACAAAATCATATGTAAACTGTCAGAGCAAAAGAATATGTAAGGTGGTTTTCCAATTACAGAGCTTAATGCGACTCAGTGGCGCACATGCCAACTTATATCTAAAACTAACTAAAATTAGATATAGAGTTGTCAAATTCAATTTGGTATTCTGTAATGACACACTATCTCTAAATTTAAAATTGACGCCGCTAAGTTATTCAACTTAGATTTAGATGATTAAATGGTATTCTGAAACGCGTTCTAAATGTCATATTTTCTCTAAAATTAGAAATGTCACACTAAATTTAACAAAGACCTACGGAGGTCCTCTCTAAATTTAAATGTGAATAATTGAAGACAAATATCACATAAATGATTCCTGTTTTGAACTTGATGTTAAGGTTGGACATAGGTGTATTTCGTTAAAAAAAGACATAAATTTTATACAATAATGAACGACGACGGACTTAATAATATATTAGCTAGATCTTTTTTTTTTTTTAAATGGTAGGTATGTCTATGTTTCGATGCGGATTTATTAAAAGCCTATTAATGTGTCATGGCCTAATGCGGCTTAGTGAGGGCTAACGACTGCAGATGCAGCGAGCAGCAACATAGGAACTCGATATAATAAATACATTTTGGGTTGATCACCCATCCTAAGCTCGGCTATTGTGAAAATTGCTTAACATTCACGATCGCAGAACGAAAGCGTTACACTTGCGCTATTGTGGTCTTTCGTAGGTAATGTACACGTATATCCACTTCATATAAAAGCAAGCTAAAAAGGTAAGAAATCTATGTACCTACTAATTCTATAAGTAATACCTACAGATCCTACTTATATCTGAAGTACATAGTCAAATAATAATTAACAAGATAATAGGTATGGTGTCAGTGATATGCATTCCAATCCAAATGTTATTTTGACTTTAAATGTAGGTACTTTAGACTTTAATGTATTATTTGTTCCTTTGTTTTTAGTGGTTGTTTCTATGAAGCAGTTTTTAATATTTGTTAGAAATGTTTTTACTTCCAACTTTTTATAAGCTAATCATATTTCTTAAAATAACCAAACACGAAATAAGTACCTACTGTTTGTAATTGAAAAGTTTGTTTTTATAGATTCGAAACTTGGTATCTTCACCAAATGAATAATTGGGATTTGGAACGATCTCGCCAAAAACTGACAGCAACAAAAAAGATAAAAATAGGTTACGCATCTCGGATTATACTATAAATGAGAATAAAATCTTCACAAAACAGCCGAGGGGATAATTACAACCTTTTACCGAAACCGAAATTTATAAACGTAGGTAGGTACCTACGAGTAGGTATTAGATAGATGCGCTGGATTGGGAATTTACGATGCGAGAAATTTTCAAGGATGATTCACATTAGACCGTGTAGGCGGTAGCAGAGTTAACTAATGATCATCATCATCATCATCAGCCTATCAATATCCCCATTGCTGGGGCACAGGATGAAATAGGGAGATTGGGCCATGACCCACCACGCAGGCCCAGTGCGGATTGGCGGGTGCTAACGACTGCAGATGCAGCCGGGACCAACGGCTTAACGTGCCTTCCGAAGCACTGAGGAAATCGAGATAGAAGATTTTTGGTCACCCATCCAATGACCGACCACTGCGAAAGTTGCTTAACTTCAACGATCGCAGCCGAACGAGTTAATCGTCTGCGCCATCGAACTCCTCTAGTTAACTTATATTAAATAATTTATTTTACATGGATTATGGACACATTCACGCTATACCAGACGGTAACGGACTGACAACCGAGCAACAAATGAAACAACGCTCGGAAAAAATTTTGGTCCCGCCTTGGCTGGGCTGGGCCACAGCCCGCTGCATGAATACAGCGCCGGCGCGGTGCCACCGGTCAATCGTAGTGATACCTCAGACAAAACAATAAACGTTTTTGCTCGGACGAGACACTTTGTAAATTACAGATCGGCTCGATGACCATGCTACGGCTGAAGCTCGCCTCAGGACTCGATACGATCCATCGTCACTGATCATCATTAATAGATTTATTAGGTACCAAAATCTAGTTGGTACTTATATTTTAATTTAATTTTAAAAGTGGTAGATTTCTCCATCGTTTTGCCAAAACAAATACTTGGCATTTTCTAAGGAAAATTAAAGTTCTGCCCGCAGATTTAATTACTCCAAGTTCTTATTTTTCCCCAAAATAAGGATAAACACTCCAAATCTAGAAACCCTAAGTATCACAGAGTAGGCAAGTATTCACTCTATAATATGGATTCATAATTTGTCATACAGTAAAATAACAAACTTATTTTAAGTTTCCATATTTGAAAGATTATGAAGAACAACAATGAATTCCTGAAATAAGTCAAAATCACTGAATAATAAGTAATTATTGCTAATTTGAGTAAACCGATAATTACCGGTTCAATGCTTTTACATAATCTGTGAATTCAATTTACATGCTCGTTTACAGCTGTCAACTGTGTTCTTAATTTAGTTAGTTCGCTATTTCAGAATACCAATTCTCTAAACCTAAATAAAATTAGCTCTCTAATTTTAAGTTTAGGTTTAGAGAATGTAACGCCAGAATCGGTCCCACTATTAGTTTTCCAATGACACTGAACTCAGCGCACTCTGCTGGTGAGCAGAGTGCGCTGAGTTCAGTGTTGAAAAAAAAGTCAATGTTTGTACCTTCATCCATACTTATATTTATTTTTTAACACAGTTTGAATTAACTTTGATTATTAAAAAAAACTATAATGAAACGAAAGCTTTAATTACTTTTCAACAATAAATAATATTACTAACGATAACATATAAATAAAACATTTCGATCAATGCCAACTTAAAGAAAAAACACTTGTTAATTTTCTGTCACTGAGTTAGTACGATTGCACGCATCACACGAAAGCATTACTTTTGAGAGTGCTCGATTATGCGAATTGTTGCTGTAGTTGAAACATTCAACGTTAAGCATAATGCGCTCTAGTGCTGTAATTGGAAAACTACCTAAATAACCGTGAAATAACCTAGGTTGTTTTCCAATTACAGAGCATAATGCGACTTAATGGCGCATGGCGCACAATGCCGAATTATGCTGATGCTTAATTGGAACGTGAATTAGTTTTCAAATGCACCAGCAGTGTGCGCTAAGTTCAGTATTGAAAAAAAGTCAATGTTTGTACCTTCATCCATACTTATATTATTTGATTTTTTTAACACAGTTTGAATTAACTTTGAATAATTAAAAAAAACTATAATGAAACGAAAGCTTTAATATTTTTTCAATAATAAATAATATTACTAACGATAACATATAAATAAAACATTTCGATCAATGCCAACTTAAAGAAAAATCACTTGTTAATTTTCTGTCACTGAGTTGGTACGATTGCACGCATCACACGAAAGCGATAGGGTACGGCCAGAGTGCACTCAGATTCAGATTCAGATACAGACTCAGAAAACAAGCGCGAGAAATATACATTGTAGTTTAGGCAGGTTGCCTGCTGCCACTATGGCCACCCTGCTTTAACTACATTGTTTATTTCTCGCGCTTGTTTTCTGAGTCTGAATCTGAATCTGAGTGCACTCTGGCCGTACCCTTACTTTTGAGAGTGCTCGATTGTGCGAAGCGTAGCTGTAGTTGAAACATTCAACGTTAAGCATTCGATTCATATAAGAATAGTACGGAGTGGGCGCCATATTGTGATGTCATAGATAGCGTGTCCGTGATGCTAGCGTACCCACGATCAATATACGGTTTTTCGTTATGCCATTAAATACTGCGTAAATAGTGCCAAATTAGTGTAAAAATCAAAAAAATAGTGCCTCTTTAATTTAAGAAATAAAGACCATTTTTACTGTGTACGCTACCATGACGTCTAGCTAGCGTACCCATGGCCGACCCCAAGAACGGCATATATTTAACCAACGAAATTTACACACAAAAATAGTTCGCAAATAGTGCCCTGGCTTTACAAAATTTCATAATCAATACTCTTATGGGACCAAAGATATTGAACTAAACATTCTTAGCTGGCGTCAACCTAGCGTACCCATAATAGTTTTCATAGAAAATTAAATTTTCTCGTCATCAATTCGATATGTATAAATAGTGTGTCAAATAGTGCCTCTAACAGTAAAAGTATTTTATGTGAATTCGCAGTAAAACAATATAAAAAAAGCAATTAAATTATTTTTATATATGAAGTACAGTCATGTACAGAAGTGATAACATTTTCGTAGTATAGTAGGTAAGTAAGGTACTTATTAGGTAGGATGAAATTCTTATATGAATTTATGATTGGTGGATTCGAATTGAAATAAAATATCTTTTTATAAAAAGTTTCATTTATTTTAGTAAAAATACATATATAGATAATCTCTTAGTGCATAAATTAATTTTGTGTGCAACTGTACTACAATACAATTGTTCCTAGAATTTAACATCCTCCTTATGTATTGTTGTGATGCGGATTCACATAAAATACTTTTACTGTTAGAGGCACTATTTGACACACTATTTATACATATAGAATTGATAACGAGAAAAGTTAATTTTCTATGAGAACTATTATGGGTACGCTAGGTTGACGCCAGCTAAGAATGTTTAGTTCAATATCTTTGTTCCCTTAAGAGTATTGATTATGAAATTTTGTAAAGCTAGGGCACTATTTGCGAACTATTTTTGTGTGTCAATTTCGTTACTTAAATATATGCCGTTCTTGGGGTCGGCCATGGGTACGCTAGCTTGACGTCATGGTAGCGTACACAGTAAAAATGGTCTTTATTTCTTAAATTAAAGAGGCACTATTTTTTTGATTTTTACGCTAATTTGGCACTATTTACGCAGTATTTAATGGCATAACGAAAAACCGTATTTTTATCGTGGGTACGCTAGCATCACGGACACATAGATAGATGTCAATTCAAACCAAATAGGTAGAGTGAGCAAAATAAAGTTTTTATTTAATAAAACTTATCAACTACGATTATGTGAGAAAAAACATCAGATTTTTTTAATAAAATTTATTTTCCTATTTTTAATAATATTTATTTATTAAGACTGTGTGAGAAAAAACATTAATCAGAATCTAGCTTTTCAATTCCGCTCATCATGCACTATTACTAGGTCACATACGAACATGTATCCCTTATGTAAACGAAAGTTTACATAAGGGATACATGTTTATGAACGCATCTATCTAGTTTATGAACGCAACTTAAAGTG